TTGTAATCTCGACTTCATTCTTTTTTTTTCTTTTTTTTTTTAAAACCGTTGAAGCCCTAACTATTCTAACTATTTTTTAAAAGATCGCTAATAACTCGAAATTTTTCCTAAAAAAACTGCTTTTTATGTTCTAACAAAAAAAAATTCCTTGCATAATTTTAGTATTAAAAACAATTCTTTGCATAATTTCGGTCTTTATTTAACCCTAAATGACATAATTTTGACTCTAAAGTCAAGGCAAATTTGTGGCAAATAGAATATTTATTATCTCATGTTTGTGTTACAGTGGTGACTGAATAAATCCGTCGAAAACTTTGCACACGAACAACATAATCAAGTTCAGAAATGATAATCAAGTTCAGAAATGATAATCAAGTTCAGAAATGATCTGTAAATAAAACAAACACAAGTGTTTTCTGATTGATAATCTATACTAAGTACGTACGTACTTATGTATGTACGTGCGATAAAAAAAAAGAAAAAAAGACCAAGGAAAGTTCTAGAGCTTAGCACGTGTGCGGAGAACGAAAAAGATTGCATCAAGTTTTTTCAGTTTACCTTAAACTGGCTTATACTGATAGTAACTGCACGCCTCTCTAAGCGTACGTACGTACATATGTTTCCGGTGCCAAGATTGTGCTTCACCTTTTTTCCATTACAAAATATATGCCTTTAAATTAAAGCCACAAATTAAAAGCCTCACTAAGTTTTTCCTGTTTTAAGTCTTATTAAAGTGATCATTTTAGTACCTTGTATCCGTTCATATGTTATTACAACAGATTTGTTTACATCTTATTGCATAGTACAAATAAAACCTATAAATATTTGAACAAAAAAGTTTTTTTTTTTTTTTCGTCAAAAAAAAAAACCCCCCAATTCCTTTGCAATTTAATGTTAGATATTATAATTTTTTAAATTTCAAAATAAGAAAAAGAAAATAAAAGAAAATGATTATGGAAGGCACGAAAGACACAAAATTGGAAGACACGAAAGTTACAAAATTAGAAGATACGAAAGTTACAAAATTGGAAGACACGAAAGACACAAAATTGGAAGGCACGAAAGACACAAAATTGGAAGACACGAAAGATACAAAATTAGAAGATACGAAAGATACACCCTTGGAAGACAACACGAAAGATGCAAGATTAGATGACATGAAAGACATAGAATTAGAAGACACGAGAGACACAAGGTTTATTCTTTCAATTGATGGTGGAGGTTTTCGAGGTATAATCCCTGCCGTTATTCTCAATGAAATTGAACAAAGAGTGACCAAAAAAATAAAAGAAGATCATCCAGAAGTTGATGTTGATATAAGATGTGCTGATTTATTTGAAATTATATCTGGTACTTCGACTGGCTCTATACTTGCTTTAGGTTTATCACTTCCTGATAAAAATAAGCGTCCTAAATTTGATGCTAAATATATCGTGGATTTTTATAAAGAGCATGGTTATGATGTCTTTCCTGATTATTCTGTTGTTATGGCTGTCGATAAATTATTACCGAAAGTACCGAACATGAACCTTACTGGTGGTGCTATGATTAAAAATTTATTTGGTGCTATGGCTCTTCCTTTGAGTTACAATTCATCTACTAATGCTGAGAACAACAAAGATATAGCAGAAAAAGATGAATCTATTGACGAACCAAAAAAATCTTATCTCAGCAGGTTTTGGTGGAGTAAAAGTACAAATAAAAAAGAAAAAAAGATTAGCGCTTCCAAGAAAAGAAAAAATAGTGCTGTAGAATTCAGAAAAATAGTTAGAATAGTTAGGGCTTCAACGGTTTTAAAAAAAAAAAGAAAAAAAAAGAATGAAGTCGAGATTACAA